TTAAACCGGCTGTATGAATAGGCCCTTTTCTTGGACAATGACTGCACAGCATATCCTGCATTGCTGTACGTGTGAATGAGGCTCTGTGGAATGGAAACTACTGTGATGATGAAAACAAAAACTGCATTTCTGAATTGGGAAACATCATGTCCTAACGTTTAAACAAGAGATATTCCGGCTATGCATGTATAGCTGAGGTTTTCCAGTCTTATATGTCTTGACTACAAGAATACTATCTCAGTTCCCTCTCAGCCCTCCACTTTGTAGAAATGTAAACAAGCATTTTGAGGGTGTTGTATCATACATAACAATGACAATCTATTACAACCGGTATATCGCACCATTCTCATAGAGCAAGGCTATCATGAAGGCTCTGATTTACAGACAGTCTGAAATAGTTTCACAGTCGGGAGCGATGTTGTTACATGTAATCCCAATTGAGAAATTACAAGCTGTTCTGTGTGGTTTGTTGGATATCCCTGTTCAAAATGTGGCCACTTTTCAAACAAACCCGAAAGTAAGTCACCCAAATCGGGATGTGACCCAATGTGACGACTGTGCACATGGCCTGAAATCCAGCACTGTGGAGGCAGCGAGGGGTTGACGGATCGCACAGACGTCTTGCGACTTGCCTTCCATCTATACGGGGATAGGGTGTTGCCCCCTCGTACTTGTCGGTTTTTTTTTCCGTGCGGTCTGATTTCCTCCAAACACGTACAAAATAACCGCTCATCGTTAATTGGCTGAAACACTTCTTAAAACGAAAAAGAGCCATACGACTCATTGCATCTCTCCTGGATAAATAAGTCAAACCTTTGCACACAAAGTACACTACAAAGTCTCTATAAATCCAGCATGGCCCATATGTGTTACGCACAGGTTTGCACTATGCAATGACATGCAACACTTTATTTACATACAATTTGAAAGCAAATATCTGCTTGATATGAACAATGGCGTTATTGTAAGCACTGCACATTAATCAAATGCTGTTTAAATGTTGGCGCTTTGAATTTTCACATTATTAGAAGGCCAAGGTCATAAGTAAATGGAAACATGAGTGCCATACAGTAATAATGTTTAATCAACTTAATGAAAAGCTAATAGTCCAAGTTCCAGTCAGATGGTGTCTTTTGTATGGGAAAATAAATGAGTCATCATGATCGCAAGTGAGATGCTTTGTTCATTGTGCATTTGTTGTGCTTTTTGATCACAAATGCGGACATCATGGCAGACTGAGTGACTTAGTTTGGCAGCTCGAAGTCAGTGTATTAATATGTGTAAAGTGCTTCTAGTCTGATACGGCCGTGATTATTTATGCTGAAGTGCCTACTAATAAAGAGGTGGTGAATGATAGCTTATTTTTTAAATCTTCACTATCAGCTAGGCATAGTGCATGTTAGGGACAGTTATTTAATTGCTTCATAAAGATGAAATTGTTTATATTGCACGAACAATAATCACTGACATTAATTATTGTGTTAATATTTTACAATTGTTGGATGCCATTTTTTCACTTAAAGTCATATTATTTTTTCTTGTCTATACCTTCGTTTTATTTTGTGGATCTGTCTATATCGTGTTGTAATTGTTTTATAAACTTTGTAACAAACGTCCCTATTTTACGAATTACAGATTGCTTGATGTGCTCATCGAGTTCTGAATAAAGTTTTTGTTTTTTTGTTTGTGACACAATACAAATTATGATATTTGTCAGACTTCAGTGGAACAAATATTACGACAAACCCACCAGCCAGGATATTGGTTTCATCCATTCAAAACAGAAAAGTATTGCACATGGCATGCTCATATCGTGCCAGGAATAAAATTAATTATTTGAGGGTGATAAAAGTAGGCCTCAAAATCTATAGCGAGAGAACTTGGCTCAGATCCAGGTGAAGGCCACTAAAAACGTTCCGCAAGTTTCAGAGACGTGATCACTTATTGAGCAGCAGTGTGGGTTTCATGAAAAAAAAGGCAATTAGTGCGTCGTCTGCGTTGGGATGATGCCATCGTATTTGGCCAGCATGAAAGAACGGGGCCAAATCATAAGTCAATTTGTGAACGCTATTTAAAGGCAGGCAAGAGTCCAATAGGACAGCCGGTCTCTTTTCAAGAAGGACCTGGACGAAGCTGTAGAAAGTATAACATTAAGTGCAGACGCAAAATATTGTAAATATAACATGATATATAAGCACGGAGAAACACGTTCAGATATTGTGCAGTGACACTATGAGAAAAATCTAACAAAAATCATAATCAAAATACTATATCTGTGCTACTAATTTTATGTAGCCAGCATCCTTGAGCGCCAAGACTATTATTCAGGAGGGTCCTGCATTGTGATGTTCGGCCAATTCCATAAATTAGTGTTTGGCATGTGGGAGGAAATTGTAGCGGCCAAAAAAAGAACTCCACCCATATCCATGTCACGCCTCAACCCCTCACGTCTACAAAACCTGCCAGGCCCTGATGGTAAACCATCCAAGTGCATGCATTTTTTATTATTATTTGGCTGCTATACATTTCCACATGTTGAGCCACTTCGTTGAGCTATCATTTGTGGCCAGGTTGTTTCTGTATAAGAAGCTAACAGCTCAGTGGGCTTTACCTGATAAAATATAAATAGTTTCGTTTTATTTAAAAACACATTTAGCGATTTGCTTACATTCCCTATACTTTGCATTCCTATTGTGTTTTGTATTGTTCGTTGTTATAACATTCTGACCTGCGCCGACTGGATATTTGTGAAAAAGAGCATTATCGCTCATCGGATTCCTCCAGCATAAATACAGGTTATGATTCTGAAGTACTCGCCAAGCTCATGCAAGCTTAGCATCAGAAATCTTATGAGATGAATGCATACTCATTTAGGATGACATCGAACATGTACAGATATTACAACTATAATAAGCCAAAAATGTGTGTGTCCCGCACGTGACGTCACTCGACATGAGGCCCACCCCCCCGCGTGACATCACTCCATATGAGGCCCACCCCCCTCATTAATATTCATGAGTGGGTGGATTTTTACATTAATGCAGAGGGAGGGTGAGCTGAATTAAATAATTCATTACGTAAAGTCGCTTCAAAAATGACGTTTCTTTACAGAAAGTGACGGTGAAAAAATTAACCCGTAAAAACAACGTTTTTCACTATAAATCCTTTCTATGCGTGGCATCGGTTTTATTTTATTATTCATTTCTGTTTTTCTTGAGTAAGAGTTTCATTTTTATCACATTGGTATTTTTAATTAAATATGAAAAAAAAATGCTAAAAAGTGGAAAATTTTGGACAAAAAATTTCACGAAAATAAATTGTCACGCACAACGAGTCTGTGTGCAAAATGTCAGCTCAATTGGAATTGGGTTAAAAAACGACCGAAAGATTTGCACGGTCGTAAGCACGCAAGCAAGCAAGCAAGTGAACTTAATATAAAGGATTTAAAAAACGACCGAAAGATTTGCACGGTCGTAAGCGCGCAAGCAAGCAAGCAAGTGAACTTAATATAAAGGATTTAAGAAGAAAAAAATCCTAAAAGTGTAAAATTTTGGAGAAAAAAAATTCACGAAAATAAATTGTCACGCACAACGAGTCTGTGTGCAAAATGTCAGCTCGATTGGATCACGGGAAGTGGGTTAAAAACGACTGAAAGATTTGCACGGTCGTAAGCGCGCAAGCAAGTGAACTTAATATAAAGGATTTAAAAAAGCTAGTAATGTATAATACATACACCAATAACATATGTAGGATGGATAACAACAGTAAAATTTCAAGTGTGTTGTTCGGAAAAAAGGAAGGAACCAGAAATAGAGGAAGAGCTAACAAAGAATGGCTTGACGACGTTATATATTGGTGCCAGAAAGATGTGCACTACTTGAGGCATATTGGCACAAGACAGAGGAAAGTGGAAACACATGATTATGGTGTAATGTCTTGCACTTAATTTCGCAATTGTTAATAATGCATAACAACTCAATTTGAGTCGTAACGAATCTTGGCAGGAACTGTTTCAGGACATACAGCTGGGAAGGTTTGAATCGTGGGCTTGGAAAGAGGGGTTTAAAATCAGGAAAAAAAGTGGTTAGTTACATTAATTGTTGCAATACACACCTGTAATCCATGGGTATCAAGGTGCCATAGCCTGGCTCACTAGGAGAGGGGGGTACAGTAAATTTGAACTCCATCTGTTCCATCTGTGTGGGATAGAGTGTTGCCCTCTCATTGCGTGGATGCTGTCTTTCTGCTTGTCAATGGTTCCTCGCACATCCGAGTCATTCTCCCTGTTCGAGAGTGAGCAAATACTGTGTTTATTGCAAGATTAAATTGTTATCATTAACTACAGTCCAGGGTGATCCATGTATATTTAACCTACCAAGTCATATAAAGTTCAGAAATAATACAATCATAGGTTGTGTCGAGGACTGTTCAGCGTGGCATCCTGTGTATGCCACACAATCTCCTCAGTTAATGTAGTTTTTATTATGTTTTTTCCCATAGTAATTAATCGAACGAAGTGTCACATATTCTTTGGTTTTTTCGGTAAAGTCACGTAGATAGTAAACAACAAAAAAACTCACGACGTTTCGATCGCAACACAAGCAGTCGAAATCTACGTGACTTTACCGAAAAAAACCAAAGAATATGAATTCCTGCAGTCACGAAAAAAAATTAAGTGTCACATATCTTCTTGGTTCTTTCGGTAAAGTCACGTAGAATTGAAATAATAAAATAATAAAAATAAAACATAATAAAATAATTAAAATTGCGTTGTGGCCGAAACTTGCATTGTGGCCGAAACGTTGTGAGAATTATTTTATTGTTTATTTTTATTATTTTATTATTTCAATTCTACGTGACTTTACCGAAAGAACCAAGAAGATGAATCCCTGTAGTCACGAAAGCTTTAAATCGAAATTTAAGTGTCACATAATTTGCGATACAATTTGTAATGACATTTCCTTTTGTGCCACACGCTGTGTTTGTAAAATGTACCACAGATCCGTGACTCCCCATCCATGCCACCACCGTCAACTGTAAGATACGGCAGCCATTGCTTTTACAATATTAAATCCACTGTTGAGAATTAATTAATACAGGATAATTAGAGAGCAGTGAGGTGTCTGTAAATGGATGACGCTGTATATAAACAGATGACTGCACTTGGTTTTATTCTGGCTGGGGTTTAAGCACTTGCTTGCCTGGCAGTCCTATAGCTCTTTGGATGTGGTTTGCGGCAAGTGGGAAGTGGCCAGAGAAAGTCGGGGCGGCATTATATTCTCGGCCAACAGATTACATGAGCAAACATTATAGAACACACTTTCTTCACGTGGTCTATTGAAATTTGGCAGAAGAATGCATTTTTAATCACACACGTTATACTATATGGCATGTAACCGAGTTAAGATGTACACCCACCAAAAGCAGCTTAAAATAAAAAAACAAGCACAAGGGACTGCAATTTTATTGTTTCGCTTGTGGCATGTTGATAACCCAATTAGACTGAAGTGCATTTTGAAAGGTTCAAAGAATGTACATTTGCACTCAGCAACAAGGTCTTGCATATTCTTGGTTCTTTCGGTAAAGTCACGTAGAAGGGAAATAATAAAAATATAAAAAAATTAAATTCTCACGACGCTTCGACTGCAACACATGCAATCATCATCACACCTGGACTTCACACATGATGATGATTGCGTGTGTTGCAGTCGAAACGTCGTGAGAATTTTTTCTATTTTTATTATTTCCCTTCTACGTGACTTTACCGAAAGAACCAAGAACATGAATCCCTGTATTCACGAAAGCTTTAAATCAAAGGTCTTGCATGTTATTGTTTACAAATATATATTATTTGTTTGTGAGTCACTAAAAATCCAGTTTTGGAAGGGATTTTTTTTCCAACTCAGTTTAATTTTGTGTTGTTTACCTTTTTTTTTCCCAGGGATCTGCCAGACCACCCAATGTCCCTGGAGGAAGTGTAAGTAATAATAATAATTTTGAACGTAATTATTTTTACCATCATCAGACAATCACAGTAAATGTAACACGGATACTTTCCGTGAACAAATATTATAATTTATTCATAATTAACTTTTTCGGTCAGATCACATAAATAAAATGTGAGTCGTATACCTTCTTCCACCAGACAGCCAATTAATAAAGTTGTCGCGTGAACAAACGTGCCTATTCATTACTGCTTCAACAAGAAATGTGCAATACACCGTTTAGAGCAATCTCACAACGTTTAAATGGGTGTGGCGGTTCGCTCATGTAATTTATCGTAAGATAAAATAACATGATTTATGTCAATACATTCATCATAAGTAGCACTTCCTGCCACTCCCTGCTCCCTTGTGAATGCACATTGATGACATCATACACCCGATTTAAGGCCCAAGAAAGGAGGACATTTTCGCAACTCTGGCTCCTGCCTGATGATGCTGGTTGTAATGAAATGTTGTGCCCATTTAAATGTTGTCAGATTGTGTTCTCACACACCGGTAAGCTGAAACAAGTATGTATTGCTATGTTTGTTCAAGTGAAGACTTTATTAATCGGCTGTGTCGGATGGAGGAGGGTTTTATGACATACAAAAAAATGGTATGAATCACAATCATAGCAGTATGCCAGTTCTATTTTCAAATCATAATAGCATTTTCAACAAACTATTGCAAAATTATGCTGTTGCTCTGTTAAACATAATATTTCACGTAGCCACATTTTCGTCCTTGTTTTACCAAAATGTATTGTTAAATGAACGCAATAATTAGATTAGAAATGCAAAAGATTTTTCAGAAGCACAACATAAAATGAGTGCGTGGTATGTTGAGATGATATCATCGTTTGTGTGCACATAGCCTCATGACAGCCACCAGCTCAAAATAGCTGAGAATTTTTTTTTTAAGCAAAAGTGGGAAATTACAATAACTGCATACCGGTGTAATTATCTTTGGGACTCATCTGTACAGTATAGCCATGCTTGCATTCTGCTGTTAATCCGGTTATTATAAATTATGAATTTAAAAAACTTTGCCTGAAGGAAACCTCACTGATTCAAGGTTTTATAAAATACAGGTCCTGGCTTGGGATGGTAGGTTAATACATTCTCAAATATATTCTTGGGTCTTTCGGTAAAGTCACGTACATAGGTTCAAAGAAAATAACCAATAATAACCAAAAACTACGACGTTTCGATCGCAACACAAGCGGTCGTCTTTAGGAAAAGGGGGGTTAGCTTCCAAGGCAAACTGTCTATAAGGGTTTGAAATGGGCGTCGCCCAATTGTCAGCAGCAAATGAAAATGTAAGTGGTGAACAGCCAACCCGACGGTGGTTGGTTTTCCACCAATCAAAGGGCTGCCAGGTGAAAATGTGCATGTTAAAGAGAGATTAGCAAGTTAATGGAAGATCGCAGCGCCGCAACCAAGGGGTCTGCGTACGAAGTGACTGTGAAGAAGCACAAGTTTGAAATAGGCGTAAAGCACAACTAACATCGGAAGGTAGTAGAATGGGAACATCATAGCCAGTTATGACTTAAACTGGTTGATAACGTCCTTCCAATGATTGCTCAGTTTATACCCATCTTCTCGGTTGAAATTGTGTCTGTGTCTATATATATATGGATCGAAATTGATTTCTCTAAGACGAAGGTGCTTTGCAAGCCCACTGGCTATCAACAAAGATTAGTTCATGAAGCCATCCATATATATGGACACAGACACAATTTAAACCGAGAAGATGGATACAAACTGAGTAATCAATGGAAGGATGTTATCAACCAGTTTAAGTCATAATTGGCTATGATGTTCCCATCCGACCACCTTCCGATGTTAGTTGTGCTTTACGCCCATTTCAAACTTGTGCTTTCACAATCACTTTGCGTGCCGACCCCTTGGTTGCGGCTCTGAGATCTCCCATTAACTTGCTAATCTCTCTTTAACATGCTAATTTTCACCTGGCAGCCCTTTGATTGGTGGAAAACTAAACACGGTCAGGTTGGCTGCCCACCACTTACATTATCATTGGCTGCTGAGATTTGGGCTACGCCCATTTCAAACCCTTATAAACAGTTTGCCTTGGAAGCTAACCCCCTTTTCCTGAACACGACCGCTTGTGTTGCGATCGAAACGTCGTAGTTTTCTGTAATTTTTTTTATTCTTTTCTTTGAACCTATGTACGTCACTTTACCGAAAGACCCAAAAGTATTAATTCCTGCAGTCTCGAATATATGTTTGGTTTCCATAAGGAAACCATTGTGTGCAATTGAATATTTATGATGTTTTATTTTTCCCTGTAACAATGTTGCAAAGTAACCTTTGATCATTTTATTTTTTAAATAAAAATGTATAACACGTTGAACCTTTAAATAAATATAAGAAATGCCATATTAAATCACATATATTGCTCTTGTTAATAGTTCACATTTGTGATATGTATTTGAAAGTGTCTTTGTTATTATTAAATGTCGAAGTCTAGTGTCAATGCCCAGTATATCTAAAGGATTAATTGTCTTCTGCTTTTTGAAACCACATATCTTCTTTAGATATGTGAAATGCATATCTCGATGCTTGGCGGCATTTAATGATGCATTTGTGACAGTCTTGTGTAAACTTTTATCGCAGAGATATCCAGTCACCAAAGGCCCACCTGCTTTTCCTGATCTCTCTGGGGCAGGGGTATGTTGTGCCTCTTAAAGGTTGTATGAATAACATTTTGTGTTAAGTCATGATGCCGTGAAATTTTACAATATTTATTAAGCACTGTCATGGCACGTTGTGGATTATAGCAATCATAACAATAAAACAATAAAATCACGAGGTCTGTTTCACCGTGCAAAAATAAAACAACATTTTAGTCTCTCAGCCAATGTGACAACTGCTCAAATCTATTACAGTCGGATTTCTTTGAGCAAACTAAATGTGGACCAGTTTTGAGTCTACTCATTTCATCAGCAGACCGTGTCCTGTTAAACCAAAGGTGCTGTGATTGGCTATTATTTCAGACAAGTCATCCATGAATACCAAGGGCTCCACTCTGCACAATGCAGCAACGTTGTGCCCGGTATATGATTTGTTAGAATGGTGGACTTTGAGGAATTAAATTATGCATGACAACATACACTTTTACTTCAGCAGCCATTACATGGGATTTTGTGCAGTTTTGCTGTCTGCATTTAACAAGTCCCACTGTATATTGGTGGACGGCAATGTTGCCTAACACCAGGTAACCCAAGTAAGGTTTTTGTTTCGTAGGCCTCACTCTAATCATGAAGTCTCTGAAAGTTTTATTTGGTTCTAGAGTTTGCCTGGTACAGTAACAACAACAACATTCTGCTGAAGAATAACATTTCTTTATTAGGCACCATAGGCTGATGGACTAAAATGTTGTTTTGATTTTAACGTATAATAATCACAATTAATATCACTATTATTGTTATTAACGCAGCACTCTGTTTTAATTATTAACATAGAATTAAAAAAAACAATAACAATCACAGCAACGTTGTACATCTGAGTGTGTATATTATCACACACACTCAAGAAAACCAAATTAAGGTGTCGTTACTTGCATTCCTGTATTTGTCATGTTTTTTTCCCAGGGTGTTCTGAATGGGTTTCCTGGCTTGGCCGGGAATTCTGGGCAGAGAGTAAGTTTAATTCAACATTATTGCAGTACCTAAAAAAGAAAATGTCGACATTTAGCTTCATATTGTATTATAGTTGCATCATTTATCGTTATTGTTGTTAGCTTTGTGTTTTATTAAAAAAATACTTTTCTAAATTACAAACTGTGATAAATAAAATGCGTATGTTAAATTCAAAAATGCATTAATGGCAGTAACTGCCATTCTACCCGAGGCGGCGTGGAGGCAGACCATGGTGCACATGGTAAACATGCACATTCATTGTTGAGTGCGGGGCCGTGTGCCACTAATCCAGCTACTTGAATGTAAATCTAACATAGGTGAAACCATCATGTGTATACATTTCTCACCAACAGGGAACATAGCACCTGCAGGAGGCAGTGGAGACAGTAGGTTTTTGACCTGTGTGTGCAGTTTCGGCATTCTTTCTTCACATTATGGTTTCACCTCTATGAGATGTGCAAATCCTACATTAAAGTGGCTGCATTACTGGCATACGACCCTACACTCACAAAAATATGCGCATGTTGTGCATGTCTTTGAGTGCCTGACATCAATTAGGGTTAAGTGTCAGTCCCCGACATCAGTTATTTGAGGGGTTAGTTATTTATTTCTGAGAACATTGTATTTGTATTTTTTGTCTTATGCAAGAATACTTTGAAAACAATAAACATCCCAAGCAGGACATGAATAGAAATTAGTATTAAGATCAGTGATGGTTTTCTCTGTAAATATATATCATCAAGATGGCAATATGAAATTGTTTATTTTCTTGTTGAGTGTGGGGTTTATGACCACTAAGCGCATTATTTTGAACGTTTTCTGCATTTTGTGACTTTTGGAAATTCATATAAAAAAAACTTTCAAGAAGTATTCTTCATATCCTGGGGTTGATAAAATACATTTGGAGAAAAAACATCTTATTGTAAGTCTGGCCTCCCCCTTGTTGGACAGGTGTAGGGTTTGACGATTTATGATTAATATTTCGCAGGTCCTATGTTAACAGTGACTTTCCACCCTCGGAGTTTCTGATGCTGCGTGCTTTGATGTGGGTCTGTCAATGGTCAGTGTTCACTCTTGGTAGGGCTCAGGTTATAACTCAGCCTTTTTATCCCACTAATTTCACATTGGGACTTTGCGTCCAAAAAGGAGCCATGTGATGCCATGAATCCCAAGTGGCCCTCAGTCCAATAGAAACTGGTAATGGAATTCTGGGTCTTATCACGTTGGCTGTTTCATTTGCTGAAAGTCTCCTGTACTTTGTTGAAGGAAATATGACTTTGGCTGCAAAACTATAAACATGACCTATACCATCCTGAATAGTTTAAAAGTTTGGAGATAAATTATATTTGTATTGATGCAAGCTGATTTGACTCAACACTTGTGAAAAATTGTAAAAAATACATCAAATTGGGACAAAAAATTAAATACTTCCTTTAAAAAAAAGCTTTAAAATGCATACTGTATTCATGTTCGTACATGTTTGTATGGTGTAATTGAGAATGAGATGTTCCATCTTGAGGGATTTTCCAGGTGAAATGTTTAATAAAATAGTTTTTAGCAAAAATCAAAGCAAATGTAAAAAATCTTGCAAAAATGTATAATGTATGATATATGCTAATGTAATATTACCATCTGGACATTATTATATTAATGGCATACATAACATGCAAATGTTGCTCAAATAGCTTTCCATGGTGCTACATATAGGCTAGCGCGACATTTATTTCCTCACAATTTTTAGTGAGATATCTGACGTCTCTCGATTTAAAGCTTTCGTGACTGCAGGGATTCATCTTCTTGGTTCTTTCGGTAAAGTCACGTAGAAGGGAAGTAATAAAATAATAAAATAAAAACCCCGCCCACCTCCCACGCATTTCACAATTAGCACTATTCGCATTCCTGCTAAATTCCTCTTCAAATGAAAATTATTTTGTCAAGGCTCTCTTCCTCCTCCCTCACAGCTTAAATAGACACTCCAAGCCTAAGACGTGTCATTTAGACTGTCTTATCGACAGACATGTTCTTCACCTGAGGACGGCTGCTTGCGTTGTGGCCGAAACGTCGTGAGAATTATTTTATTATGTTTTATTTTTATTATTTTATTACTTCCCTTCTACGTGACTTTACCGAAAGAACCAAGAAGATCTGACGTCTCATTTAGATTGTGAACTGCATCATGCCAATGTACTTTATTGTAATAATCTGTCATGAAAATAGAATTGTATTTATGGTGTTGCATTGAGTGTGTCAGAGATGTAAGGAGGAAAAAAGGTCGTATTTAATGTTTAAGTTTTAATATCAAAGGAGGACTCCAACTTTATTGAGCTAGGAATAATACTGATCTCCCATTTATAGTTCTGAGTCAATGTTGGAAATTCCACATTTCTATGGTTGTGGCTGGGGTCTTCACTTTAGACAAACACTTTTGAATTTCCAACAAAGTGATCCTCATTTCATCAATGCATGGTTGAGTCGACCCCGAACTGGGATTTTTATTTTCAACCGTCTGATCGCGAGCTGTTCACTCTATCACTGCGGTACCCTGCCAAATGGAAAAGGTGTTTACTAAATACATAATTAGAATACACTGCTAAGAATATGGCAGTGTGAATCTACTAGTCTTAGTTTGGATAAATGTGTAATGACAATAGAGTCGTCTTTACATATGTGTAAAAAGTCAACTGTGTTTCTACATGTGGTTTGGGCGAAATTTAAAATATGGCATTTGGTACATTAAAATATGCATGGAAATATAACCTCCAGGAAGCTGTGAGATCACGCTGTGTTCTTGGAACAGAATGTGCGATGTGGATATGTTATAGGAAGCCTGAGGGTGCCAGTGGGTGGTCTGGACGTTATGTAGCCTTTATACTACTGAAGTCAAAAGCATATGTTGACCATCAATTTACTTTATTTTCGATGAGCCTAGTGAGATAGGGTTGATTCGTTTACATTTGCTTAAACGGGGATATCTAATGTTCGTAGCGAGAGTTATTATTACATTTTCTACACCGACTTATTTTGTATCGCTCTGTTTTGTGTTATATGAGTCCAATTTGTTAGACATTTATTTACGATGATACACTGCCTACCACACAGCGTGTGAATACATGAATCACAATAATAGTCCTCGCATAAATTTAGTAGGAGTTAATCGGGTGTTTGTGTCTGCAAATTTAAACACTTTACTTTATTCCAGAAACCTGAGTTTACATTTTCAACCATGGAAGAAAAAAACAGTGGCATGTATTGTGAACCTTGCTCGTCACTCTCCGCTAACCAAACAGGCTTCCACGCAGACTGCTTTATCGGGCAGTGATGATAGCCAGCGATGATAGGCAGTCCGTAATCGATGCTCAGTTACGGGTGCTATACTGTACACCAACCAACCTCTCTGATTTTTCTAATTTTTATAACTGATTATAATCGATTCCCTGGCATCAGTTATAAAAAATATATAACTGATAATTATCAAACTCAACATACAGTTATAATTTTTGCCAGTTTCGTTTCAAATGCCATACAAAAGAGAGACAATATGTGCTTAACAGGTGACTATGCCATGCAATGGGGGGGGGGTGTGTGTTTTTCTTTGCCACAATGTACTCCTGTTCTGCTATTGGCACCACGTCGTGAGAAGTAAACATCATTCGGAAATCACATGGAGCAGAAAAAACATGAATAAGAAAAACATCTTCAAGTGGCTTTTTTATCCTCTACCATAATCGGGAGAGCACTTCCCCACAGGCTCTGTGTTATGAGATTGCAGCACGACATTCAAAGCAATATTGGTATTTGTTTATTCTCGGCTCTGAACTGTTGGCCAACTAAAGTGCAAAACCACATTTAATTCAGTTTAATCACTGGATTTTAACCCACGATCTCAGCAGTGACAGCTTATGTCGCAAGGTATATATTAAAAGTGGCTAATAAATAATACCCCCCACCCCCGCTTGATTAATTTGCAACGGCAAAAATTTACTGCTGAAAACTGTAAATGGCTCCAGTGTTCAGGTCATGCCGGTAATTAGCAGCAGAAGTCAACGTCACATCACTGCATGCAAGCCAATTGCAGTGGGCTCCTGAGCAGTAAGCTGAACGTAAAAGTGGTATAATATTTTATTGTTACAAACATCACATTTTCAATGTTTGGCATCTGAAATGGAATCTGCCTCATCGTTCTAGAACTTCTACACTTACTTCTCTGACCTCTGATTCAGCTGGTTACCTTGTAGGTTGTATTTGATTAACTCTTACCCAAAAGTTATTCCAATTGAACACACCATATATATTTTTCAAGTGTAAACTCACATATGTTTTATACAATCAACATATCTTTGATTGTTATATTTATTATAAGTGGATATATGCGACTATCCATTCATTACATACTCTTTGATTCTTTCGGTAAAGTCACGTAGGTAGAAATAACACGAAAGAAATCACGACGTTTCGAGAGCAACACAAGCCATCGTCTTCAGGTGAAAATCACGATAGCCGCCATGTCTGATGCGAGCAGCACGATGTCACAAGGCAGCAGACATGGCGGCTATCGTGAATTCACCTAAAGACGATGGCTTGTGTTGCTATCGAAACGTCGAGATTTATTTTGTGTTATTTCTAACTACGTGACTTTACCGAACGAATGGATTCCTGCAGTTGCGAAAGCTTCAAATCAAGATTATCCATGTATTATTACAGAGTAATACAATATTTGTTAAAGCTATTGGCCTTGATAGGCTTGACATTTATATCATAAGCAGTACAGTTTCATCGGTTTTGCAAGCTCTAGTTAATTGCTATTTTTCTAGACTTAGATTACGAGAAAATTACATTCCACTTTGAAGTGATAGTTACGTTTCTCTGTCGATGGTTTAGTTATTGTATGCGAAGATCGATCTGAAACTCCGCATAAACAATTCAACCTGCGCTGCTGTAAATGTGTTCTGCATTGTGCAATCCCCTTTGCAACCATTTGTCTAAAACTTTAAGAGATGCAG